TAATAGATCGATTATAGATCGATACGCAAAACAACATACACTTATTGTACATGGAGAACAATGCAGTATGTGTTATCGAAATTTTTAAGGAATCAAAATGTATAAATTATAAAAGATAGATGATACACTACTATATTCCTAACCTGTACGAGAAGGGGACTCCTCCCCGGACAGATCTAATAATTATTGCATGTAGATCATGCTCCTAACATAAATCACGTTATTCTCTTTAGATGTAAAAAGTATTTTCACATCCAACTAGAATTGTGTGAGTTTATATCAGAATAGATTCACATCCAACATTATTAGACGGGAAACTAGGGGTAACGACTTCCGATTCATAAAATCATGATATATAACACAATACAATCTCGATATATCTACCTAAATTGAATGCATCAATTACAGTAGAATCATTTATCATAACAATCAATGTTTAATTAGAGTATTAGATTTATGGTAATATAATCATGATTGCATTAGTATTATTTAAGGATAAAGTCGGCCAGTTTACTTTGAATTGTATTAAAATGATAATAAACTAAAGTTAATTTAGTTAGGATGATAGACTAAAGTCATATAATATTATTAGCATTAGGCTTATTCTTATTGAATCTCTTTATAGTAATATTTATTATGGTTAATATTATTAGCATTAGGCTTATTCTTATTGAATCTCTTTATAGTAATATTTATTATGGTTAGTTAGGACCATTAATGGCTAAAGTTAAGTTATCAAAAGTTTTGACATTTAAAAAAATGATGGTACTTAAAGTTAAGTTATTTTGTTAATCATATTAAGTTTAAAGTTAGTTTAATTACGGTTCTAGACTTAGGATAATGTAATTTAGTTTAATTATTGTTCTAGACTTAGGGTAATGTAGTTAGGTTTAGTATTAGAATTATTTTAGATAGTTATCTCATTAAGTTAGGATTAGAGTTATATATATTTAAATAAATTACTTAGATTTAGGATTAAGATCAAATTTGAGTAAAAGTTAGTTGAAAAAGACCGGTCATTAGTACTAATTGATTAATTTTGTTTAGTTATGTTATTAAATTAGGAATAGTCTAACTAAAGTTTGATTACTACTATTATATATGGGATTAGGTTAAAAAAGGATAATTACAGTTAGGGTTACTATTAGAATCGTATTTGGTAGATTAATTTAATTACGTTATTAATGTTAGGATTAAAGTAGATTATTGAGTTATTAATGTTAAGATTAAAGTAGATTATTGAGTTATTAAAGTTAGGATTAAAGTTATTAAAGTTAAATTAATTAATTTGAGATAGAAAATGCTAAATTTTGGATAGATAAGCTTATTTGGCTAGATTTGATGAAAATTACAGTTAAGGTTAGGGTTACCAAACTTCAAGTAGGCTTAATTACGATTATATGCTTAAGATAATGATATTGGGGTTATGTTGAAGATCAATTTGGGTAGATCAATGTAATTAAGTTTAAATTAGGTTTTTCATTTTACAATTTCTCAAAAAGGTGTATTTCATAACCCATAAAATTGCAATAAATACTAAAATACTAGAAAAATACTTAAAGATAATACATTGAGTGACTGTTGCAGCGGTGAAGTCACGGCGGCGGTGGCGGTGATGGCCAAAGGACGTGAAGCGACAAACCCTCCTGCTGGAGACAGCGGCGGCGAAGGCGGAAGACGACGAAACCATGCCTGACGCAAATCGCGACTGATACAACGTGGAGGCACGGCTAAAGACGCACGCAGCCGACTTTGGTTTCTACTGTGTTAAAAAAAAGGGCTGGTAAAAACGAATATATAACCAACATCGCTGATGGGCTACCCATCAGCGATGTTCATATCCCGTCAGCAATGTTGCATCGCTGACGGTATCGAAAAAATTTATGACAGCAACATCTCTGACGGTTAATACCGTCAGTGATGTAAACATCGCTGACGGCATTGCCTCGTTAGTGATGTTGCCGTCAGCGAAACCTATTTTTCCACTAGTAATGTATCATCAATGAATAGAAAGTTTGGTGGATGGTTCACTTAAGTTGACATAAGTTTTTCTATGTGTGTGTGTGTGTGTGTATAAGAAATATGGGTATGCTTGGTATCAAGCACAAATTTTGTGCTTGGTAGTGATGTGACACAATCTCCTCTACTCATTCAAATGAGGGATCACATTCACATGGGTTGAGGAGTACATGGGGATATGCAACCATTTGAATAAGTAAAGGAGATTTATAGAGAGAGAGAGAGAGAGAGAGAGAGAGAGAGAGAGAGAAGTTTTCGGCTGCGAAATTTTTTCGCACTGTTCCTGTGCGAAAATGAGTTCTGGCCTTTGGATTTCCGTCAGCACCAATAGCCGTTGGATCTGCTTCCCTAATTCCCAAGAGACATAAAAGAACCTGTCTCACCCAAAAAAAAAAGAACCCACCCCTCCGACCCCAGAGCCAGGTCCCTCTCTTCCCGTCATCGAGCTCCGCCGACGCCTTATCGCCGTTGAGCCCAGAACCCAAACCCTCTCCTTTCCGACGAACCCTGGTCCCTATCTTCTCGCCGTCGAGCTCCACAGAACCCAAACCCTCTCCCTCCCTAGATCCTGGTCCCTCTCTTCTCGCCGTCGCCTTCTAGCCGTCGATAGCCAGGTCCCGCTTTGTCGCCATCGAGCTCCTCCTCCGCCTTCAACCTCCTCCTCCGCGATCTGCCCTTCAACCTAGGTTGGACCTCTTTCAATTTTCAGGTGCGTTTTTTGATTTCTTGCTTGATTTAGGGCTTTTTGATGTGGGTTGTTGATGTTAGATGCGATTACTTTCTAGGTTGTTGTTTGTGAAAGTGAGTAGATTTGGGGAAACTTCAACCCCAACTTTTTAATTTTAATTTATTTTACTCATTTTTAATTTTGATATATAGCTTGGCTTGACACTGTATTTAGATTTAAGCTTCAAAGATGCCTTTTTAATTTTAATTTGTTTGTTGTTTTTTGAACTCTTCTTTACGTGGAGCTCTCTTCGTAATTGCAGGTTTGAAGACTGTTGTTTGGACAGAGCTACAAAACCGGGTTCCATCTTTGTTAGAAACAGATTTCATCTTGTTTGAATCAGGTAGAAATCGAGTCTGCTTCGATTTTACTCATTTTTAATTTTGACTGTCAACTATAACAACATATTTCTTCTTGTTATGGAGACACTCAGTGCCTTCTTACATAGCACAGTTTGCGTTGCTGACCGATGAGGAGGATTAAATAGCACAGTGGTTAAATTTCTGCTCAAATTTCTGATTCATTTGTATATAGAGTGACATTGGTTATTGGTACATGGTGAATAAGGCGAGGAAAATGAAAATAAAACCACAAAAAAGTCCTTAATTAAGGGTCATTTTAGCATGTTCCTGATGTTATGTTATTAGCGCCCTGTTGATATTATTGTGAATAATCATTGTTTTGTGCATGTATCAGCTTCTCAGTTATAGTTGAGATTGTTAGCTTTCTCCAGTTTGTGCATGTATCAGTTTCCTTGTTGTTAGTCAAACCGAAATGTCTCTCTGATCTGGATGAATGCAGACCTGGCTATAACTTCATATGGATGCACATATTCTAATTTCCTCTTTAATCTCATTGCTCCTCATCCACTTCCACATTCACTTTTCAAGTTATCTCTCTTTCTTTTCTTTTCTTTTCTTTTTATCTTGGCACATATCATAATTCATAATTGTTCATCATTCTGCTTGTTCAGACGAAGCAGTCGAGCGTGACGCCACAAGTTTCAAGAGCCGGGTCAACTGAAGAAGTGCGGGAAAAGAGAAAGCTTTTTCTTGATATTATGGATTTGTTGAAGCTTGTTGTATTTGCTCTTTTATTTGGTATTTTTTTGGATTTGTATTTGGTATTTTTATTGGATTTGTGCTAAGTAGGGTGTAAGAATGTATTATTGGATTTGTTGAAGTGTATGTTCTCTGCATGTGTTTTAAATACAACCCAGGTTTATGTTGAAGTGTATGTTCTCTGTTCTCTGCATGTGTACTAAATGCAACCCAGGTTTATGTTGAAGTGTATGTTCTCTGTTCTCTGCATGTGTACTAAATGCAACCCAGGTTTATGTTGAAGTGTATGTTCTCTGTTCTCTGCATGTGTACTAAATGCAACCCAGGTTTATGTTGAAGTGTTATGTTCTCTGCATGCGGATGAGTACTATATTACTCTGTCAGTGCACATAAATCTGTACCGAATTTCGTTTATAAAACTTGAGTATCTAGGAAACTTAGGTGCTCTTTTCTTCAAGGAAACAGGTCACCTCATGACCACAAAGATTTCAACAGAAACAACATTTTGAGCGCATTAGTTTATCAACTACCATCCAACAACTACAGCCATGATTCATAAATTAATAAAGCTCGACATCCAGAAATAGACCACAAAGATTTCAACAGAAACAACATTTTGAGCGCATTAGTTTATCAACTACCATCCAACAACTACAGCCATAATTCATAAATTAATAAAGCTCGACATCCAGAAATAGACCACAAAGATTTCAACAGAAACAACATTTTGAGCGCATTAGTTTATCAACTACCATCCAACAACTACAGCCATGATTCATAAATTAATAAAGCTCGACATCCAGAAATAGACCACAAAGATTTCAACAGAAACAACATTTTGAGCGCATTAGTTTATCAACTACCATCCAACAACTACAGCCATGATTCATAAATTAATAAAGCTCGACATCCAGAAATAGACCACAAAGATTTCAACAGAAACAACATTTTGAGCACAAAGATTTCCAGCAACAATAGTACATTTCAACAACAAGACCAAGAATAATTTTCAGCAACAATAATTTCCAGCAAAGATTTCCAGCAATATGAAATTCCAGCAACAATAATTTTGGCACCTGCAAATGAAATTCCAACATTTCAACAGAGATTTCCAAAATTCCAACATTCCAACATTCCAAAATTTCCAACATTTCAACAAAGATTTCCAGCAACAATAATTTTGTCACCTGCAAATGAAATTCCAAGAACAATAGTACATTTCAAGTCTAAATTTCCAAGTAGCTTCTATTACAGAATAAACTCAAAACCATATATGTTTCTTAGGAGGCACACCAAACAACTCAAAACAAAAGTACATTTCAAGTCTAAATTTCCAGGTAGCTTCCCATTTCTGCACAGAAACTTGGCGATTAGGGTGGGGGGGAATATAAAGGAAATGAAGCTTATATTTCTCACCAATAGTGATATGATTTGCTCCGCCAACCTTGATCAAACTTCAAACAATAGTTAGAACTTCATCTGTATTAAAAAAATTAAAATATCACGTTATATTAAAAAAAGGGCAATGTACAAGTTATTCGGTATGTATTAATCATTACCTTCCTCAAAGGAATCTTCTAAATCATCATTGGCTTCATCAATATTATCTTGTTCCATTGAATCACTAAAAAAATTTATGATAGCAAGACATATTAAAGATCATTGCACCAACTTAAGAAAATGTTTAAAAAAATAATAGCATTAGTATTACTAAAACAAATGATACACTATCTTGACAACTTTAGAGGGCAATTTCTTGTATCATGATTTTGTCCTCGCATTCCACACAAATTGCATTTCCTAGGCCGGCATTTACGGATCTCCCTCGATGGCTTTAACCTCTTCCCTTTAGGCCTTCCTTTTGTTCTTGCTTGACTTGGTTCATAAACTATATCTTCAGAACACTCCGCATTCATATAATGTCCTTCCACATCTTGTCCAATTTCTTCATCATTGACGAGTTTCAAACGTTGCACCTTATTAATAGCATCCATCATCATTTCACGCATTAATTCATATGCATCATTAGAAGATAGCCCCTCTTCGACCATTTCATTAGCTAAGCAATTTAGTTCACTAAAACGAGAAGCAAAATTAATTGTGGCATTATCTCCAATAATATTACCATCTCTAAAAACAACTCTTTTTCTAACATTTTGGCACCATCTTCTTAGAATATTTTACTCCGGTAACTCACTATGATTGGTAATTTTAAGATATGCCAAGATATGTCGGCACGGAATGCCCTTGAATTCAAACATGAGACACGAACAACGGACCATTTTAGTTGTTTTGCAATATATAATATGTCTCAATCTTTCATCATCACCACAAAAATTCAATTGGAAAGTACTTTCTCTTTTTCTTTCTTTTACAAGCTCAATGTTATACATTAAGCTAGGTTGAAGCTCGTCTTGAAAAATATAAAAGATTTTTTTTGTGTAGATTTGGGCCATTTGTTTTTCCATTGACCACAAAGTCTTCAATTTTGGCTTTTTCTCCACTGTGCAATGATCTTCTTTAAGCTCCCCCTCTCTTTGTCTCGCCAAGACCCTCTGAAAGATGGTCACGAAATCATGAAGTGAATTCTTCCTTGATACATGCATTTTTAGCAATGCATTCATCCCTTCACTTCTTTGACTGCTAGACATACCGGCCCAAAAGTGTTTTTTATGATAAACCGGAGCCCATTTTTCACGAATTTCATAGATATCCTTTAGCCAATCATGCGTTTCCAATCCATTTTTCTTAAGAATTGAAACCCAATTCTCTTCAAAAGAGCTAGCAGTCTCGGAGTCCCAAATAATTTCTTTGAAAGATTTCATAAATTCTGTACTATAAGCCCATTTACCCAACTTCTCCGGGACTTTGTCCAAGATATGCCAAATGCAAAACCTGTGCCGAATTTCTGGAAAAACTGTTTCAATTGCCTTGCATATGCCAAGACATTGATCTGTAATCATGCCCGAAGGAGGATGACCCATTGCTTCAATCCATTTGTTAAACAACCATACAAAAGACTTCGCCTCTTCGTTTGGGATCAAGCCACATCCTAAAAAAACACTTTGCCAATGGTGATTTATGCCTACAAACGGCACAAATACCAAGCCATATTGATTTGTGTTATGCGTGGCATCGAAGGAGACAACATCGCCAAAGTGTTGATAATTCATTCTAGCAATGCCATCCACCCAAAAACAATGAGTTAAGCGCTTCTCTTCATCAACTTCATAAACATAATAAAATGAAGGATTCTTCTCTTGTTCCGACTTGAAATGATCCAACATCATTTGTGCATCATGACCGCGCCTCTCCTCTCTCAAATCTCTTTCATAATTTCTCACATCGGTCTCAATGCATCCAATTCTATGAAAACCTCCGCTAGAGTTTTCAAAGAAGGCCATTTGCTTGTTTGTTGGAATGTTCACCTCTCCAAACTGCTTTATCAATGTCTTCTTCGCACTTGTTACCTCACGGTTTCCCCTTAGAAAATGTGTTCTACTCGGCGAAGTAATTGTATGATTATGTTCTTCCACGAACTTGTAGACACTCCATATGCCATTGTTTTTGTCTAATTTCAAGCGAATCAAGGCCTTACAATTTGTTCTAATTGTACCACATCGTCGAAAATCCAACGATTTGCTCTTTAACACTCCTTCTTTCGAACAAACATAACTTTTGCAAATTAACTCTCTATCCTTCCCATAATTTGTTGTGCTATTACGGATATCAAAACCTCCGGCCTTTCCGTAATTTCTGTAGAATTTTTCAGCGTCTTCTAAATTGCCGAAAGTCATTCCTATTTTTGATTTTAAGTGCTCATCAACAATTGGCACAACTAAGTTATCTAACTGAGAGAATTGTTCATCAACAACATGGGAGCAACTATCTTCAGTTTCCATTGGATCAAACATCAAGCACAAACCATCAAAGAATAATTTTTACCTACAAGAACAAACATCAAGAACAAACATCAAGCACAAACCATCAAAGACAACCATGCACAAAAATAAACAAATGAATCCATAGATTATATATAAATCATCTTAAGAGGACAGTCAAAAAAATCACAAGAACAAACATGCTTATATATATATTTGCAGCTAACGGTAATAATGCTAAACAGTAAACACTATGATGCGCATTTGAATGTGTATACTAGTGTAGCTTAACGCATTTGAATGTGTATAAATCAACAAATATAAACCAAAGAGATCAAAACAATCCATGCAAGCACGGACATAGTACTTGTCGGACATAAAGTAAAACAACAACCATAACTTTTTTGTTTTGCATTGGTTTGATATAAGTAACTTGCATACCCTCTCAATCGGGAGAGAAAGGAGCCAAAAATCTTCCTGAAGCTCGTTTCCTGAAATGTAAAAATTCCCGTCTTCACTAGCACGTTTTAGTAGCAGAGAGAAAAATGAGTCTTTAGTTTCAACTTTTTTATCTAATTTAATTTCCATCCAACCAAATAATTAAAAGCAAAAACCTCCAAAGTTATTGATTTTGTAGAATTCTGATAGCTACAATGGTCTCGGATTTGATTTTGGACTGAGTGGTCCAAAATTTAAAATTAAAAAAAACTTTCTAAGGAAACAGCTCCTTAATGTATATATTGCCTGATTAGAATTTAATTAACTGAAAAATAATTAAAGGACGAAGTTAATTAACTGATTCGAATTGAAGGCACCAAAACATTAAAAACGCACCTGAAAATTGAAAGAGGTCCAACCTAGGTTGAAGGGCAGATCGCGGAGGAGGAGGTTGAAGGCGGAGGAGGAGCTCGACGGCGACAAAGCGGGACCTGGCTATCGATGGCGAGAAGGCGACGGCGAGAAGAGAGGGACCAGGATCTAGGGAGGGAGAGGGTTTGGGTTCTGCGGAGCTCGACGGCGAGAAGAGAGGGACCAGGGTTCGTCGGAAGGGAGAGGGTTTGGGTTCTGGGCTCAACGGCGATAAGGCGTCGGCGGAGCTCGATGACGGGAAGAGAGGGACCTGGCTCTGGGGTCGGAGGGGTGGGTTCTTTTTTTTTTGGGTGAGACGGGTTCTTTTATAAACTGTAGTTACTAGAATAAGAAATTGAAAAACACTAAGGGGCTGTTTGTTTGCTTTATTTTGAGATGGAAAGGGGGTGAAAACCTGTCAAAATGTCAGATTTTGGCAGGTTTTCACCCAAAAAAAAAAACAACCAAACAGCCCCTAATAGTGAAGCTGCTGTTTATGTGGAGGGAAGGACAATGTAGGGGGTTATTCATTGGTGTAAATTGGTGTAAATTGGGATAAATTGTTCCAATAGGGTAATTTTACCCAATGGAATAATTTGAGTGGGATAAAGTGAGGTAAAATGGGGGTAATGGGACAAAATGGGGTAATTGGTTGCTGCTCCATGTGGTATAATCGGTATTCCCAATCTCTCTGAAACCAGAAATTATCCTTTAATAATTTAATGGAATAAAAACCAATGGAGGAGATGCTTCTCTTTTTCCTCATCTCTTCTTCCTTCGTTTTATCGTTGGGAAACGAAACCGATATGCTGTCACTCCAAACTCTCAAGAATCAAATATCCAACGATCCTTCAGGGGCTCTAATCTCATGGAACAACACCAACCATTTCTGCAACTGGGCTGGAGTCTCGTGCGGCAGAATACATCACCTTCAAAGGGTCACTGCCTTGGACCTCAGCGGGCACCGCTCGCGCCTTATCGGATCCGAACCCATTAATCTCGTCACAAAGAAATCTGAGGCGATCGGTTCTTCGACCGGCGGCGATGATTCTAAATCCGACATTAGTAAACCCCAACACCGCGCCTCCCCAACTGCGCCCTCGTCGCATTCCAGATCCGCCGCTGCTGTCCATGATCCTCCTCCTCTTCACCACGCCCTCTGGCTCCCCCAAGGCCCAGACCGAACAGCCCGCCGACCAGCTCGAACTCCAGCCCTCCGACCAGCTCGAACTCCACCCTCGCCAGATCTGATCACCGCCATGTCCTCCTCCGCCCTCGCGAATTTTTCTGGATCGGAGAACGGAATGAGGGTAAATTGGTTCCCCTCTTTTGTTCCAGCAGGCAAAATGGGGTAATTTGGGGCTTGGGGGCTGAGGAATGTAATATGGTTGGTGTAATTTAGGAAAAAGTGGAGTATTTGTCCCTAATTATCCCCAACAAACCAATAACACCACAAAGATTACATCAGTTCCAAATACCCCAATGAATAACACCAAACATTGTTGTTCCAAAAATTATCTCATTATCCCAAAAATTACCCCAATGAATAACCCCAACTAAGAGTTTATATATTGGTCTTTTGTTGTTCCCTTTTCTGCAGTAGCTGTTTTTTCTGTGGACGTACAAAAGGTTCAGTTGGAATGGTGACTAATATGTCATATATGATACAATGAGATACTGATATCGTCTTATCTTTTCATTCTATGGCCGGGCATAAGAAGAGCTTTGATAAACCCGGGCATTAGGCCGATGGAAGTAGTTGGCTCGGATTGTATGATCCCATCCGTTTCTCTTTTAAAAAAAATAATAATAGAATAAGAAATTCAAAAGTACAGGGGCTATTATTTCATGCCATCAATGGTACTATGATTATAAACAAAAAGTTAACACCCAAAATTTAAAGGATACTAAAAAATAACTAAATTTAAATTTAACAAGGGTAGGAGAACTAAGTTGAAAAAAAAAAGTATAAAGGATCAATTTGAACATGAAGAGCCCGTGCGAGGACCAAATTGGCATTTTAGCCTAATTTGTAGCAATGACAAAGTGTTCATCCCAAATTTTTAAAATCAGCAAAGTACAAAATATGAAGATTTGGAGATAAGCTATTGGTATTCCCCTTAGATGATGGCTATACATGCTGCGGAGCCACCATATTGTAACCTTTCCCAGAGCCAAGGCACAAAAAGTACAAACCGTATGCAAAGTTGCTAACCATAAAACACATTCTCCCATCTCAGAATTTGATGCGGAATAGTAAGCCAGTTTGCGGTAAGCATACGACTAAAAGCACCCAACACACAATTCATAGGCCAACCCAAATCAACACTTTCAGTAAGCCAAACTGGTTTTGGTAGTGCATATCGACCTGGGATCTAAAGCAAATGATGCTTTAGTGTAAGACCCATGTGTCACCATGTGTTTCGTTACATAATGCTAACGCTACAAAAGAAACAATGGCCATGAAATTTATTAGTGTTACAAATTTAAAAGAAATATATCCCCTTAAATCAACACTAGATGCAACAGCCTATGCATTCATTCTTCTTCTTCGGCTTCCTCAAGCCAGTTAACAAATGGCTCCAGTGCTTTCACAAAAGTTTGCTGCCACATCAACATTAATATCCGAGATGAAGTTAAGCAAAAAAAATAGTAAATGCAATAACCAAAAATTAAAATAAAATTAGTAATGGTACTTGTCCTGTACAATAATTATGATATTCAACGTTTATAATAGGGTAAATTGCACATAACCCTCATCTATACTTTGACATTGATTTATCACCTCCCTCAAGTCATTTACTGCAACCACCCAACCCAACCCCCCCCCCCCAGTTAACCTCCACCGTAATGATGTTTACATTTCCGTCTGTATGTAACATGCAAGAGCAACTTGTACTTAAAATTGTGACAGACGTGACATGCAAGAACTTGCACTTAAAATTGTGTTAAATATGCACCTATAGTTAACAAAGTTAACCCCACTTAACGATGTTTACTTCTCCATCTATGTCGTTTAGGTTGCGACTTAAATAGTATTTGCAACTATAATGTAACTGCAACTGTAGAGTTGTATCGAAATAAACAGTTGCCACTAGACAAAAATGATTCAATTACATGCAAACTGCAGATGCAAGCCCTCCAGTTGTAAGCTACCAAGGGTCAACTAAATTGTTTACCAAATGTCACCTCAATTGTTGTCTTTCGTATTTTCTTGCTTCAAAAGTGGGGAAAAAAGCATTTACAATATGTAGAAGGGACCAAAGTATATTATTGCATACCTGCCCTTTGGATTTGCACCTTTCCGGAACCAAAGAAGAATGGTATCCTCAGCAAGCACATCTTGATCATATAAAGACCTGATGATCTCTGGGAATAACTTCATTAGTTTTGCATCCTCATAGCACTGGATCTGGACTTTGTACATGAGTTCAAGTTCGAGCTTTCCGCTTGTACAGAATGCATTCAAAAGTTTGGCCCATGTTTTTACCTGTGAGTGACGGAGGGAAGATGCACAAAGTACAAACAATGTATTTATAAACATGATAATTAATGTGAAACTGAATACTTATTTAGTGATTTCTCAATTTTCTATTGGGCATAACATCATAAGCTCCCTATTGATGACAAAACAATATTGTCCTTAGACACAGATGAAAAAGAATTGTTGGAGATTATTAGAGGTTGATAATGAATTAAACAAGAGCTCAACAATGAAATATGACCGAGGACAAGTATTGACAGTACAGAAAAGCCTCTATAAGCAATAATCCTAACTTGGCCAAATTTTAGTGAGAAAGGATACCAAATAAAAGAATTATTAACAAAAATGATTCTGAAATAGAGAGAATAAGGTATAATGAATTATCCCGAAACACAAGATATACATCAATGTCTAGTAGCCAGTATTTAGCAAAAGAAAATTTCAGTTGATAAACAATTTTCAGTTGGCACTTCGCAACAATAGTTTTATCACAAAATTCACAATAAAGAAATGTAGCTCTGTCTCTAGCACTGAATAAGAAGATCCGCCTCAGATGACAAAAGCAAGTGGATTTATGATTTTCATTCACTTGACTGGTTGAATTAATTTTATGCTTAATAAAAGTTTATAACCCATACAGAAAGTCTATAACCTGTACAGAACTGATAGTCTCTTTTCAAACTAGATTGGTTGCATGAGTTAAAAGTAATGGCCAAGGAAAGTAGGAATACCTAATTGCAACCATCAATGTTTAGTAGAGATCCCTCTACTGCTCAAGTTATATTGACCACCAACTTATTAAAGAGGAACTGTCAGGTCGACGTCCAGTTTCCAAAAAAAATTAAAAGCTAAGTCAATTCTTCGTAGCAGTTTTCTTGTCTGAGATGCCACTCCTACGGACTGTACATTGATGGGGATGTTACAGGTGGAATAGGTGTAGCTCTCTATGATACTTAACAAGTTTTCATACACAACCATCAAGAAACTGCTGAATGCTGTATATATTTACCAAGTTCAAACAATTTTTTCAACTATTTACTTTTAAAGAGGAAGAAGGCAAAATGGTTATACCTGGCGTAACGCAGAATTTGCATTTTGCTGTTGATTCTTCCCAGACCACTGAACTGCATCCATTAGCACATCCCATACAATGCGTACTACCTCAATATCAGGAATTTTGGTGTCTTTCACCCGTTGCTTGACAGTCTCTATGACTTCAGCTATATCAGTCCCTTCTGCAATTTGGGTTGTCAATGCTGATGTCATCTCCTTCAGCTTGGCCTCAAAAATTTTCTTCTCATTGTACTCAACAAGAGCTACCAATCCTTCTTTGCTGCATGGACAAATTTGAAGATCAATGTTAACACAAAAGCATATATTAACTAAAAGAATTCTTTTCAATCTCATTTAACACAACCCTGAAACTTAGGTATTGGGAACCAAGCGCAAACATTCTAAGACCAATGTTGCTTGCAAATTAGAATTGTTCAGATTCAAGCACACAATTTATCAAAAGACCCAAAACAAAAGTATTCAATGCGTTTGTAAGTGTTTCTTTATAGCAAATGTGCATAAGTAAATATATACTCATGAAATGTATTCAAATGTGTTCACCCCCGAAATTTAGGGTTTGTCAATGCTCATTAATTTCTTCATTTTCCTTGAAATTGAGATAGAACAATAAAATGACAAATATTGAATTTTGTAGTGTTATCAGTCATAATACAAAGCCTCCATATATAAGAAATTAAATTCTTATTATAGCATTGATATTATGTCACCCATGGGTGAATTTGAAGGAATAATAATTGCCACAACAGAAGTAAACATTGACATTGTGACCATTACCAAATAAGTGGATGACAATTTAATTAAAGTTATATCCTCTCAAAAATATCAATATGATGATAAAAGAAAAGGTTTTTTCCCTCCAAAATATCTGAAATGAATGAATTCCACTTTTAGGTGTCAAGGATTACAACATGATCTCCTGTTGCTGCAACAAGTTCATTATTGCACCAACCATGGGATCACTTTATAATGATATGAAGGAGCTCACGTGAAATGCTCAGAGAAACCTTGAGCAGAGCGCTTTGCACTTGGGAAGAAGTCGAGGAGATTATCCTCCATTTTCCCTCGCTTAAGAAGCGATATAAGATCATCCACACTGTTATCAATCAAATATTCCCTGAAGAAATCAGTGATGAATGAAAGGACTAGCCCCTTGGCAACAAGATTATCCTTGAGCAACGGCTGCATGACTGTTTCTGGTGGAAGCCCAGATAGTTTCTGGGAGAATGAAAGCGCTGTAAAAATGGCAAGCTTCTTTCTCTCATCCTCCTCAAAGATCTCCAAGCACTGCAAGAATTTACGCGTAACATTTTCGAGGTTCTTAATCAAGAAGGGCCTTCTGCGAAGGATTTTCTGTATATACAGAACAGATGGCAAAATAGCTTCACGCTTCGATTCACAGTCTATTACAGAATAAGAATGCCTTTCCCCTTCATCAGGCTTTGTTGTACCTGGTTGAGTACGACCTCCAGTGAAGACAACCTGTAAGTTTAAATACGTTGAATCAGTTTATAGCAAAGGAATTTTAGATATTCCAAATGAAAGCTAATAAACACAACAATCCGCGACTTTGACAAGCGCAATGTTTTAAAAAAGCCCCCGTCTAGCCCACTTAGGCGTACATTATCTTGCCTGCCTACCTAGCACCTAGCATGTAGGCGGTACCTACACTGCCCAACTAGGCTTTGGGAGCACCTAGGGGAGCATGGTTTGCCTACATGGACTGCAACCTTTAGGCATTGATCGTGATTTCCTCCATTACCGCCTCCATCCTAAAACCTCCTCCAACTATGAACACCTCCTCTACCTCACCCGACCTTCAGCAAGACCTCCTCCGCCACCACTTAAGAAATCTACCTAGGTATCAGTGCAACGCCTAAGCTTTCAATAATACTGGCATTGACTATCATAAATTGTAATTAAAAACTAAAAAAAATGAAAACACCTAGGTTCAACCTTTAGGCATTGATCGTGATTTCCTCCATTACCGCCTCCGTCCTAAAACCTCCCCCAACTATGAACACCTCCTCTACCTCACCCGACCTTCAGCAAGACCTCCTCCGCCACCACTTAAGAAATCTACCTAGGTATCAGTGCAACGCCTAAGCTTTCAATAATACTAGCATTGACTATCATAAATTGTAATTAAAAACTAAAAAAATGAAAACACCTAGGTTCCGCCTAGGCTCTAGGTGTCGGGTCCAACGCCTAGGCCACCTAGTGCTTTCTATAACCTTGGTCTAAGTATAATTAAGATATAACACTAGAGATCTTTCTGGTGACACTAAACCAAGTATATCCAACATTAATAAAAGACTAGAAACGATGAAATATTCTAACAAATGTAATAAAATTAATAAATCCCACGGTAAGAAAGGTGCCTTGTTCTCCAAGACAAATATCCTTAAACGAAACTCCCCTTCAAATTACCGATGCAATATTTCAAGAACAAAAGCTTCAACTTCAGTCTGCCCCAACTTATCTCATTTTCTTTCAGTATTATGAGAATTCAAGAAGCTTGCACATTGACAAAGCATATGCTTACTATCTTTCTATAATAGGCTAATTAAAATAATACCAAAAACTCATCAAAAGAAAATGGCAATAAAAAAAACACAAATGCAGAATTGGCAGAATATTTGTCAGTGTTTGAAATGGGATTTTAACTTGGATTAATAACAAGTTCAGTAAGGTCATGTTCTTCAGACAGATACACTGTCCATTGCTGGTGATAGATGTACATGAAGGATTCAAGGAAAATATGATCTTTCGACGTTTAACACCTTATGTGGCTCATAAATCATCAGAATCGCTATAAAGAAAAGCGCACCCACTCATAAATTTACCCAAAGGTCCCTATTTGGTTAATTGCTGGTTACAAGTTACTAGATATATTAGTATGTATCCCAACATGTCTAGTAATGAATTCATTATTTACAATACCTAGATCCTATGTTTAGTTATGAACACCGCTGAAGTTTGATAGCTGATCAACACATATTCTCTCCACCTCTGTGTCATTAACTTCATAGAAGCAGTTGAACAAGCTGTTCATGAAGTTCATATGCCTAGATTTAGTCAACATTAGCCCAATGAACTTTATAAACAGAACTTCATTTGGTATAAAGTGATCTCTTCACCATATTATGAAACGCAGACATTAGTCCATGTGATGCATGCAAGATTCTCCCAGAATCATGTCTTCGAAGTTGTAGACAACCATTCTTTAACAACTTAATGTATTATAGTTTGACATTGGGGCATATATTTGCTTAGAGTAGACTAAAATCCAAAAGGTATAATGTCTTTCAGGACTCGAGGCACCAAACAATATGTACATATTAGGACGAATGGAATAATAAGAATCAGATAACAGACAAGCATAAGACCAATATTCCATAAAACCCATCTTAGATGATACTTTAGGAAACAGAAAAATCTTCAGCAAGACACATCACACAAGCAAAGTAATTTGATTGCGACTTTCTGGAAGAAGGCAACAACAAAATCTGCAGCAAAGTGTTGCCAAGCTCTGCCAGGGACTCAAGATATCAATGCCACTTACTGTACCAATGCATATTTATGAAAGTTTACATAAAGTTGTTTGAAAGATTAGCCATTTCTTATTTCTGCTGGTAGTTCATACTTCATACGTGTCGTTTTGCATGCATGAATGGGAGGGAATGGAATGCTCGTTTCCACTTCTCATTCATGCGTACCAAACATAATATCTTTTTAGAAGCTAGAATGCTCATTCCCACTTTTTTTTGGGAATGGACATTCCCAATGAGATGGTAGAGAATAGGCATTCTCACTTAAGTGAGAAAGGAAAAACTAATTTAAATATCGAATGTGTCACGATTGCTTAATAATTAACCATACTAAAAAGAAAAAGGATTTTCGTTCCTACTTCATCCTCTAATCGCACCCAAACGTGAGAATGAAAATGAGCATTCTATTCTCGCACTCATTCCATTCCAATTCTTGCTTCATTCAATTCTCACTTAATCAGGTTCCCACATACCAAACGAGGCGTTATAGATAATACAACAATTGAGTACATCATAGGAAGACCTAAAACAAAATGGTCTCGATATGGTCCTCAGAAAGAATAACCATATGGCAGGAATCAGACTGCTAGTTCCTCTATGTTGAGTTAATGGCTACTAAAATAATTGAATATCAATAGCAAAATAAATAAAAGACTAAGATGGAAAATAACATTTTTTACACAAGTATATGCATGTCGGATGTGGAAGGACACATAGCAACCATAATACATGCAACTTCATAGCAAAAAGGTAAGATTTATCAAGGTACCTCAAAAAAGGTGTCGCCGTACCGTGAGAAGTTTAAATCTGAAGATTCAAGACTTTTGGCTACAAGTTCCTACAGAAGGACAGTAGTTACATATACTAATCAACAAGTCAACTGGTAAATCTATCTATATTGTGTAACAATGAAAATAATACAAATTTATAATATAATAGCTTAACCAAACATTCAAAGAACATGCCTTGTAACAAATTAATTATATATGAGAAAATCATATTTAGCAAAGAATGTTGTACTTGATTCCCTTATGCCTCAACCATACAATGAATTTTACAGGGTTCGCACTTGGCAGATATATCACAAAAAGATCATTTTAGTTTGATTTTGAAACAACTGGGCAAATGATTTTAAGCCCTTGGTTTATGATGGAACTTGAAGTCCCAGAATCTTCAGTCAAAAAAAAACACAAACATTCATGGTTATCTCCTTCTGTCGAAGAATTCCCCAACATCTTCTATAAAAAAGATAAATTAATTAGAACGTAGAAAGTTTGAAAGACATTTAATATCAACGTCCAAATGCACTTAAGAAAAAGACGTATTCACATCTAGCTGAAACAACTAAGTTTGATTTGCTCCGCATCTAATTTCAATTTTAAAAATAGTGCATGAGGATGAATATGAGGAACACTAGAGCCAATATTTTGACAAGCAATACCAAATCACCAGCATTATCCAGATATATCTGAACTACTGCATCTGCAAAAGCTGAAGGGTCCAAAGGAGCTGCTATATTCCGTTTGCGGGTCTTGATCCGCGTGCCACTACATTATCAGAAAAACAGGGGGTCATTATTATAGTATCCCATAAGTAACCAACAAGCATTTATTAAGGCAAGTCTTCAATTAAAAAACATATAAGTTAGATCAGCACAGATTTTGCATGTTGTACAGACAATCAGAAATGTATAGATGTCAGTATTCAGACAAACATATAATACAAAATACCATATCAATTTATTTGTTTAAATAATTAAAATAGACCGGGAAAGGCTCAGGAAGTTATTATTTTCTCTGAAAGGTTACATCTATAAAATGCAAGTAAATCTATAAGCTGTATACCAAGATCATAAAAATTTATACATTATAAACTTATAACACTGCTAATGTTTCTTACTTAGTGCTGAAGATAATTTCACTTTCTGAAACATTTTCCAGGAATCAAATAAGAAATGCTTTACTGATAGTTCAGAAAATAAATACAACGTACAAGCACCTAGATCACTAAACTCACATATCATTGAAACCCATATCAGGATTTATCAGTTCCATTGTTGTTTATTATGTTTTCTTAGTGTGCTACACTAGTTACTGGCTAACCTTAAAAGATAAATCTGGTTCATGATGTCACACTTCCTCATCAAATATAGATCCTTAAGGTCAGAGATTCAAGGTGCGGATGCCTACCACCAGTTACATATTTGAGTTCACACACAATGATTAATAATGGTACATCAAATGTTATAACAAAGATCTTCCCACAGAGAAACAGAAACTCAAAACTACATCACAATTTCAGAGGCACAAAATTTCAAAAGAAATATCAGAAAGAATTCTCTCTCCCATCTTCTAACTTTTCCAAGTAATATAGAAATTAACAAACACCCCCCAAACTCACCCCCACAAAGATAAAAAAACATCCTCAGTTGGTGATTTGTAGAATGCCATAAGAAAGCCAAAAAGAACATTCTCTGCTGAAAATTTTGTAGTAAAAAAGTTAATTTTATCAAGTTCACATCAATTCTCAAATCTCAACTCTAATTTTTTAACTAAAATTATACAATAAAAACACTATCACAAAATAAAATACATTTGGCTGGTTAATCTCATAGATAAACATACAAGAAATATGTGTAAACTGTAAAGACAGTGCATTTCGAACCAAGCTATCTATGAAGACAATGAATGATAATTAGTGGCACAAGCTAACGTGGTCGGAATGAAAACATAGAACATAAGAAAGAACGAAAAGAACCAATCTGAGACTAAGCCAAAAAATATGAATTCAACTGATACCAAATAACAACATTAAATTGAAGCTAGTACATAGATGAGTAACTACAGACTAACCGAAGTGTCTTTGAGTTAAATAGGATTTTGGTTGTCTTCGATCCTCACAGCTATGGCAGTGAGAGCATTATGGACAATAAAAAAGGACAAAAGCAGAACACTGTCATGTCAACATATATTCATAAATAATTAAAATATTTAACTTTGCATTTCAATTTAGTTTTCTATAAATTCCTGGTCGACTCACTATGAATTACGAAGTTGAAGCAAAATGAAATAACAGGACATTCATTTTGGTCTGTTTGGGAGATCACTAAGGAAAGGAAAGGAAGGTTAAACTTTTCATTCCCTTCCCTTCCCCTCCTTTACCCCCTAATTTGGGGGGTAAGATTTTAGTGCAAAATTTCCCTAACTTCCCCTCCCCTACCCTCCTAATAGAACTCCCAAACAAGATTAAATCCAAATTTCCCTCCCCCTCTCTACCCTCCATCCAAACCGGCTATAAGGGAAGGCAAGGAAGGTTAAACTTTTCTTTCCCTTCCCTTCCCCTCCTTTACCCCCCAATTTGGGGCGTAAGATTTCAGTGCAAAATTTCCCTAACTTCCCCTCCTCTACCCTCCTAATACAACTCCCGAACAAGGTTAAATCCAAATTCCCTCCTCCACCCTCCATCCAAACACACCATTATAATCAAAATTACATGACCTAAAAAAACATATAATCAACAAATGATCGGCATATCTTTCGTAATTACATCTCAGAAGAAATAACAGGATATTAATTGTAATCAAAATTTACATGCTTACCCGAGAGTGGGCTTCTCCTTCGAGCTGCACAATCAACACAAAGGAAAAAAAAAAACAAAACAAAAACAAATCAGTCAAGATCAACCTCAAACACTAAAACAACTCCAGGATCCACGATAATCAGCGCAGATCTCGATCGAATTACACGGTTCGAGTATTTTCTTCGCCCTTTTACGCTCAAAGAATAGATATTTACAATGAAAAAAGCAGATCATTTACTTTCGATAAATCAAATCGACGATGATCTGATCACAAAATGATAGGGGAAAAAATAAACCAAAAGGTTGAAAACTAAAGGGTGTTACCTCATAAAAAGTTCGAGAGGAATCGGGGCGACGAGAGAACGGAGGAGAGAGCGAGAGGCGGGTGGCGGCCTTTTTTAGGGCTTAGAGCAAGGGCAGCAATCTCGTAGTAGGGAGCTTTTGTTGCAGTGCTTTCAAGCACGGGTACATTTAGGACTCTTTAGGAGCTTCCTACTAGCCCAAATTTTTCAATAAACTCGAGCTTAAATATTATTTAAAAAATTTATTCTTTTATCTTTAACATTTTATAAATATATTTTAAAATAATAAATTTAATAAAAAAAAATATTTTTTAGTAGGTCCTCACCATTTAGGAGCTCTCGAGTACTTCACAAATTTGTGGAGCTCTTAGGAGCTCCATGGTGGGTCCAACCGTCAACCAGAACTTGGGAGTCTTCTTCGAAGCTTGTTGGAGCATGTTAGGAGCTTTTCCTTACTACATCATTCTTAAGAGCCTCATTGGGAGGCTACTGTACTTGCTCTTACAAATAGAAAAGAGGGAAGAAGAAGATGATAATTTTCGGGGTGGAAATGCAATTATATAATTCATTTGGGTCCTTATACATGGTTTTTTCTATTTAGTACCTTACATCTTTCATATTCTGAAATTATTTCCTCAAATCATTTAAAATGGCTATTTTTCATCCCAATTCTTAATTTATTTGGAAACTAGGCCCTCCAATCAATAACTTAAAACAACTTACTCGAATAGCAATTTCAATAATGAGGTAATAAAATCCCTTTAATTACCACTTCTACTCTTATTAATTGAAAGGACTAATTTCACCTAAGAGGGTCTAGCCGAGTAGGTAAACTACCTACGAATAGCACTTTAAAGTCTCTGGTTCGACTTTTTTGCGGAGCGGAGCACTCACAAAAATTTAAGTTGCTGAAATACTCGAGTCCATGTGTGCCCATGAAGGTCCCCTCTCTGCAAAAGGGCTTATATACTCTATAACACTTATTTAAAATATATGAGATTTTTGAGGACTTGTTTAAGAACAAATCCAACCAGAACCTCTCCTATTCACACCATTGAGTTTTATTGTGTCATCTCATGCACTAGTGTGCACACCGTGCAAAGCACGTCCCCTATTTTTTTATTTCCGCTACACGGATGATGAAGATATGCAATTTACAAAAGCCTAAACTTGAAAATATATGTTTAATTCCATTGAAAATAAATATATGTTTAATCTTGGATAGACATCTTGCTCTGATTTTTCTCTCCAAAGAAAAATGTTTAATGAAAATATGCAAATATTACCTCTGTCGAGTGATAGTTAGTAAGCAAAGGATTAGCTTGTTTTTAGTGATATTTTATATTTATGCAAACCAGTTCTGAAGAGATTTACCATTTATGTATATGTAACTTGTTCTTTTTGTTTCTAATAAATTTTTAGTGACATAAACCTGCAAAAAGAAAAAAGGCTCTTTTTGTTTGTTCGTTTGTTTTTTACTAAGTTTTTAAGCCACGGGCAAATGCATGAGAATAGAACACAAGATATAAATTTTGAATTTTAATTTAGACATAAAAATAAATATGCTAGAGAAGATGATAGATATCTCCAATGTGACAGCCTTTCCGTCTCCAAGTGACACGTTGCACTCCCATCTAGTGTCTATCATGACTTTGAAGACTCATAAAAACCACTATTGTGGTGGGTTTTCTAATATTTATTTATTCGTTCGATAACCTTTACAGTTCCCTATCTCGGTATCTGCAAATGGCATGTGAGTATCCATTCTCAATGTTTATCTCTAGATAATGCTTATCTTTAGTGGGTCATAAAATCCACACTACTAAAAAAACATATAAACTAACATCAAAGTTTTAACTAATCTCATGCTGCGTGTTACACACTTAAAGTTCATTCTAGAATCTGAAAGCGCATGTAAACTAAAGAAATTATGAAAATCGCTCTTTAAGAAGTGGTCATTAGAAACCATTGTATGCAATCGAGACGGTTGAGAGGTTCTCATATGACTTCCTCGATTTTAGATTCGATATTTAGACTAGGTTATTTAAAAAAAGTGAAAGAAAAAGAAAGGTCATTAGATTGACTAATAGAGAAACCATTATTTCTAGACAAAGTTAAAAGGCAATGCAAAATTAAATGACACCATTAAGATAGCTTTATTCTCGGCGACTTGCTAGCCATGTTTATTGTAGTGGGTCCAGTCTAAGATAAGACCCACATGAGGTCCACATGAATTAAAATTCTATTCATGAGAAACCTGTAATTTTTTTGGTGCTACAGTAAACCGTGAATAATAACCCGAGAGAAAAAGTGGGGAGAGAGAGAAAATGTGAGATTCCGGATAGCTCGGTTATCCGATTGTAGTGATTCAAAAGCCTTGATCTTCAAAACGACGACGTCGTCGAGGGTACAATGTTGGTTTCTCCGCGAGTGTTGGAGATTTCCGGTGAGGTGGGTTTTAGGGTTTTGATACCTTAGAGGTAACACTATATCTTTCTTTTGCGATTTAATCCTCAAGTTCAAATGTAACTTGGAGGGATTGTACTCTTGATTCATAGTGAAATATTTCTCTCTGGATTGTCAAGTGGACGTAGGCACGATTTACCGAACCACATTAAATCTTGGTGTTTGCTTGCTTGTGATATTTTCATTGGTGTCATTATTCGTTTAGTGTTTAATTCCACAGATTAATCTCCATTAAATCCTTAACAAGTGGTATCATAGCCCTGATTCAAAGCATACTTCGAGATGGAAAAGATGGAGAGTTTTGGCACAATTATGAAATTGGATGGTTCTGAAAAGATGACTGATAAAGAATGGGAGAACAACACAAGAAGGCAATTGATTATGTTCGGATGTGGATCGACGTTATTGTATTTCATCATGTATCGGGTGAGACTAATGTGAAGTCTTTTTAGAAGAAGCTTGAGGATCTCTACGAGCAAAAGACCATGAGAAACAATGCGTTTATTATGAGGCGGTTGGTGAACTTAAAATTCCAAGAAGGAAGCAATATAGCAGGGCACTTGAACGAGTTCAATAGTTTGATTAATCAGTTAGCTACCATGAAGATGACTATCGATGATGAACTATAGGCTTTATTGCTATTCGGTTATTTGCCAGATAGTTGGAAGACACTAGTTATGACAGTCAACAACGCAACTCCAGATGGTGTGTTTATCGATGAGTATGGTTACTAGTAGTTCATTCAATAAGGAGACTCGGAAGTCTACCAGTACAGATAACTCATAGATACTTGTCATAGAGAACATGGGTAGGAGTAGGTACAGGGACCCGTCCAGAGGTCATGGCACATCCAAAGACAGATCAAAGTCTAAATGGAGAGGTTGTTTTTTATTGTGAGAAGCCAGATCATATCAAGAAAAATTGTTAGGCATTGAAGAAAGAGCAAGCTGGGAAAAAAGATGAAAAGAAAGATGAGAATAAGAAAGTTGACAGTGATACTACAGCTACTTTGTCTGAGATCGATGTTATTCTCATTTATAAGGAAGAAGATTGTATGCATATTACAAGTCTGAATTCTGAGTGGATAGTGGATACAGGAGCTACATGTCATGCTACCTCCAATCGAGACCTTTTTATGCCGTATAAAGCAGGTGACTTTGGCAATGTGAAGATGAGCAATATCAGCTACTCAAAAATTATGGGACTTGGTGATAGACACTTGCAAACAGATATTGGATGCACATTGATCTTAAATAATATGCGTCATGTTCTCAATTTGGTCAACTTGATTTCGGGTCTTATTTTGGACCGAATGAGATATGAAATTCAATTTGGTGGAGGAAAATATAAAATCACCAAAGGCTCTCTTGTGGTAGCTAGATGAAGTATATGTTACAATTTATATAAGACTCAAGTAAAGGCTTCATATGATTATTTGAGCTTGGCTCAAGACGGTGACACTCTCAGTTTGTGACATAGGAGGCTCGGGCACATGAGCGAGAAAGGGTTGCAGATATTAGTAAAGAAGTCTCTCATTCCCTTTGTCAAAAGTTCGTCACTCACCCCTTGTGATTATTGTTTGTTTGATAAATAACAGAGTTTTTTTAGTAAGCCTTCTAAAAGAAAAGATAATATTCTGGATTTGATTTATTATGATGTTTGTGGTCCTATTGAGGTGGAGTCCTTAGGTGACAATAAGTATTTTATCACATTTTATTGATGATGCATCATGGAGGATGTTGGTCGTCTTATTGAGGACAAAGGACCAGGTGTTTTCAGTCTTCCAGCAGTTTTATGTCATGATGAAGAGGAAGACAGGAAAGAAGTTAAAGTGTTTGCGCACCGATATTGGAGGGGAGTACACTTCCATTGAGTTTAAAGATTATTGCTCCAAGTATGGTATTCGGCATCAGAAGATAGATCCCAGCACACCGCAACATAATGGAGTTGCAGAGAGGTACAACAAGATTATTGTGGAAATAATCAGATGCATGTTGATGATGGCAGAGTTACCTAAGAGCTTCTGGGCTAAAGTTGTTCGCACTGCATGCTACATAATCAACAAGTCTCCTTTAGTTCCTTTGGGTTTTGATATTCCAGAGAGAGTTTGGTCCGAAAAAAAAGATATTTTTTATTATTATCTGAAGGTGTTTGGTTGCAAGGCATTTGCACACATTCCGAAGGAGAAGAGACAGAAGCTTGATAATAGATCAGTTCCTTACATCTTCCTTGGTTATGGAGAAGAGGAGTTTGGCTACAAACTATAGGATCCAGAAAAGAGACGAATTATCAGACGAGCAGATATGATTTTTAGGAGGATCAGACTATTACAGATCTCGGGAGAGCAGAGCAGTCAGAGAGTGTTGCTAGTGAGATTTTAGATATGACACCCGTTTCGTCTCTAGTACAGTTGCATCCTACAGATATAGAGCAAGTGCATGATGATGATGTTGATGATGGTGGTCAGATACCAGAGCAGGTAGACGGTGATCAGGATCACGAGCAGGAGGCTCCTTAGCAGGGAGCATCACCAGCAACAGGAGTTTATAAAGCCATAACTAAGGAGATCAACTAGAGAACATCGACCATCCACGGGATATCCTCTTTCGGAGTATTCTTTGTTGATAGAAGAGGGGAAGCCAGAAGCTTTGCGGAGGCACATACTCATAAAGATAAGGACATATGGTTCCAGACTATGAAGGAAGAGATGAAGTCTCTTG